GGGGAGTGAGGGAGTCTGGGCTGGGGACCCTAGGAGGGGGAGATAGGGCTCCATCCACCTGCATGGAGGTACTGCCCTATTGCCCCCTACCCCCCAGTGGAGGGGGGAAATCAGCAAGGAGGCGGCATTGGCTTTGTCATGTTCTTTTTTTTTTTTTTTTTTTATTTTTTTAAAAATATATTTTATTGATTTTTTACAGAGAGGAAGGGAGAGAGATAGAGAGTTAGAAACATCGATGAGAGAGAAACATCAATCAGCTGCCTCCTGCACATCTCCCACTGGGGATGTGCCCGCAACCCAGGTACATGCCCTTGACCGGAATCGAACCCGGGACCCCTCAGTCCGCAGGCCGACGCTCTATCCACTGAGCCAAACCGGTTTCGGCTGTCATGTTCTTTTTTAAAAAAAAAAAATTCCTGCATTCAGATGGGGAGGGGAGAGGGCAAGAGGAGACAGACGCAGAGGGGCGTTTCTCTGAAGGTAATGGGGGGGGGGGCGGTCCCCTCCTAAGCATGAGGGCAGGCAGAGGGCATGTGCACACACCTGCATGCAGACGTGCACCTGGGCCTGCAGGTGTGGCAGGGGCCGACCACTTTGTGGGCGTCCTCAGGCCTTGCCTTGGGCTCCTCTGGTTGGTGACTCCCGTCACCTCCCCCAGGCCCCTCCCTGCCCGTCTCTTCCTACACCAGCTTCCCAGCCCTCAGGACTCTGCGTCCCCCTGTTTCATAAGAGGGGTCCTGCCTCTGCTCAGTGCTCAGGCTGCACCTAGAAGCCCCCGATGTCTGGCTGAGGTGTCTCCTACTTTTGTGGGTCCTGGAGGATGGGGCCAGCCTCCCTTGTGGACGCTTGTGACTGGGTCAGCGCTCGTGATTCTGGGGGCCTCTCAGTTCAGGAGGCCGTTCTCCCACCGCCCAGGTGAGCGCTCAGCCTGAGGTCACTTCCCACACTGGCCACCCTGCCTGTCTTCCATGTTGACCCCTGGAATCTGGACCAGCTGCTTGAGATGCTTGTCTCCTTGGCAACTGCTGCCAGGATGGACTGTCCACTTCGAATTCATTATCATAATTAGCTTCAGGCTGCGGGAAACCACCCTCCATCTCCCATCTTTTATTTCCTGCAGCCTGGACATCACCAGGGCTCCCAGGGCCTGGTCCAGGTGTTGGAGAGGCAGGACAGGGCTGGCCTCTAGGTGCGGGCAGGTAGGGCTGCTCACCTGCCATCTCTCTTGTCTCTGTGCGGGGCTTAGGGGGGAGTGGACCCAGGTCCTCGTGAGCTGCCCTTGTCCTCCAGGACTGGAGGGGGCAGCGCTCTGGGCACACAGGGCTGCCTGGGACACATGGAGTGCAGTGCTGCCCTCGCCCCTCCTGCGGGCAGGAGCGGGAAGAGGGTGCTTTCTCTCTTTTTAAAATGTTTTTATTGATTTCAGAGAGGAAGGCAGAGGGAGAGAAGTAAGAAGCATCAATGATGAGAGAGAATCATTGAACACTGCCTCCTGCACACCCCACACTGGGGATCGAGCCCATAACCCGGACATGTGCCCTGACTGGAAATCGAACCGTGACCTCCTGGTTCATAAGTCATGCTCAACCCCTGAGCCACGCTGGCTGGGCGAGGGGTGCCTTCTGACCCACAGCTGCCAGCTCCCGGAGCCCAGGGTGCAGGAGCTGGGAAAGGCCTGCGGGAACGGGCGGGATGCGAGCAGGCGGGAGACTCGGGCTCAGCCCACGGTGAGCCCTGGAACCGCAGGGCCGCATTGGTTACCACGCCCTCACCCCGCAGGAGGGTGAGCCTCCTGCCTGAGACCGGTCGCCCGGGGCGGGGCCTCAGTGGAGTGTCCCTGTCACTGAGGATGCTGTGCCCAGAGACCATTGTCCTCTCAGGGCCTGCTCCCTCCCTAAGTTCCCTCCGGCCGGGCGCCCGTGTGCTGGGTGGGGTGGTGGCGGGCCACCAAGGTGCTCGCTGATAGGAAGAGGCTGGACATAATGTCTTTTCTCTGCTGTCCAGCTGCTTGGCAGGGGGGCGGGGGAGGGGGGTGCAGTCTGTAGGAGCCCAGGCCTGTCTGTAGGATCAGGCCTGTGGGCCTGGCTTGGGGGAATCTGTCGTCTTTGGGGATGTGACAGGGAGACGCGCGAAGCCCCCTGTCTGAGCCTCCTCGGGGCGGGTGCCAGGAGCCTCACCCACTGGGTGCCATCTGTGCCCGTCTGTTCCAAAACTTCAAAAACAAGCCTGGAGCTGCTGCTGGCACTTTCTGGGGTGGGGCCACTGGGAGGCATGGGCCTGTCTTCTTCCTACTCTCCCGCCACTGCACTGGGACAGAATGTTCTGGAGTGTCCATCAGAGCTAACCTCAGGAAGCGGGGCTGAGAGGGCCTGGCCACTTCGGGACTCCCGAGGAATGGCCGGTGTGGGGGAAGCCCTGCGCACGAGGGTGACAGCCAGGCATCTCCCTGCCCGCTCTCCTGTCTGTCAGACTCGCCTGGGGCTGGCCTGGGACAGTCCTCCCGAACGTGGCACCCTCTTCCCTCTTCAGGAACACCCTGCCCCTCTCCACCCCAGGCCGCCAGGAGCCTCCTCATGGACACCTCCGCGGGGAAGCCACTGGGTGAGGTGACGCCTGGCTCCCGCATCCCTGGTGCCCCTTTTGTGATGGGTGGTGCCTTCCGTGCCTCCCATGCCAAACCTTCAGGCCCCAGCCTGGAGCTCCCATCCCACCCCTGGCAGATCCACTCTGGGCACGGGCGCCCCTTTCCCACGGCCAGGTCGGGAGAAAACACCACCAGGCAGACAGACAATTACAATTATAAGACACAGGAGATATTTGGACTTTTTTCCAGGGCTCAGTTAATTGAATAAATGGGCTAATGAATGAAGGAAATGAATTGCGGTTTGAAATGTGACTGGTTCTCTGTGGGCACTGTGTCAGCAGGACTGTCGGTGCCCATCACCCTCTGCCAGCGCCTCTGCCATGCCCACGCCCCAGGGAGGGGCTCTGTGTCTCTGGGCAGTCACAGGCTGTGGGCGTATGGGCAAGGCCACCGGAGGCTTCTTGGTGCTAAGTGCATGCTCAGGGCAGCCAGGCTGGGGCTCAGGCAGGACGCCCAGCAGTAGGGCACTCGCAGGGCTGGGGTGGGGCTGGGCCCGAGAGGGCGTTGCTGTGGCCAGGCTCAAGTTGGACAATGCAGTGTTGGCCCCAAAGGGCCTCAGCTCCTCCACCCACTGGGACACTTATGGTCTCGACTCCTGGGGCCTGTGGGGCGGGAGCTGGGAAGATGGGGTGTCCAGGTCGTTAGGACATGTGGGAGGGGTGTGATGTGGGGCCCTGGATCAGGCCCTCAGCCACCACGGACTCTGCTCCCTGAGACCCCACCCCACCCACCCTGCCTGTTCTGGCGGGTCCTCTGGGTGCTCAGGGTGCTCTGGGTCCTCTGGGGGCTGGGGGCTCTGGGGACTCTGGGGGCAGGTCCTCTGGGGGCTCTGGGGCTCTGGAGGCGGGTCCTCTGGGGGCTCTGGGGGCTCTGGAGGCGGGTCCTCTGGGGACTCTGGGGTCTCTGGGGGCTCTGGAGGCAGGTCCTCTGGGGGCTCTGGGGGCTCTGGGGACTCTGGGGGCTCTGGGGGCTCTGGGTCCTCTGGGGGCCCTGGGGGCTCTGGGTCCTCTGGGTCCTCTGGGTCCTCTGGGGGCTCTGGGGACTCTGGGGGCTCTGGGGGCTCTGGGTCCTCTGGGTCCTCTGGGGGCTCTGTGGGCTCTGGGTCCTCTGGGGGCTCTGGGTCCTCTGGGTCCTCTGGGTCCTCTGGGGGCTCTGGGGGCTCTGGGTCCTCTGGGTCCTCTGGGTCCTCTGGGTCCTCTGGGGGCTCTGGGGGCTCTGGGGGCTCTGGGGACTCTGTGGGCTCTAGGTCCTCTGGGGGCTCTGGGGGCTCTGGGGGCTCTGGGTCCTCTGGGTCCTCTGGGTCCTCTGGGGGCTCTGGGGGCTCTGGGTCCTCTGGGGGCTCTGGGTCCTCTGGGTCCTCTGGGTCCTCTGGGGGCTCTGGGTCCTCTGGGTCCTCTGGGTCCTCTGGGGACTCTGTGGGCTCTAGGTCCTCTGGGGGCTCTGGGGGCTCTGGGGGCTCTGGGTCCTCTGGGTCCTCTGGGTCCTCTGGGTCCTCTGGGGGCTCTGTGGGTTCTGGGGGCTCTGGGGGCTCTGGGTCCTCTGGGGGCTCTGGGGACTCTGTGGGCTCTGGGTCCTCTGGGGGCTCTGGGGGCTCTGGGGGCTCTGGGTCCTCTGGGTCCTCTGGGGGCTCTGGGTGCTCTGGGGGCTCTGGGTCCTCTGGGTCCTCTGGGGGCTCTGGGGGCTCTGGGGGCTCTGGGTCCTCTGGGTCCTCTGGGGGCTCTGGGGGCTCTGGGGGCTCTGGGGGCTCTGGGTCCTCTGGGTCCTCTGGGGGCTCTGGGGGCTCTGGGGGCTCTGGGGGCTCTGGGTCCTCTGGGTCCTCTGAGGGCTCTGGGGGCTCTGGGGGCTCTGGCTGGGGCTCTGGGTGGCACTTTGGATGGGGCCTCGGCATCCACGCTGCCTGCACAATGGCTCCCGATGCCTGTTAGTCAGGAGCTGGCAGCACAGCCAGCACACGGAAGTCCGTGGTTGGGACCCCCACCAGGGCACCGGGTCACACAGGAAGGGCCGCCCGCAGGAACACAGGCAAGGATCTGGGCTGGCTATGCGTGAAGGTCGGTATTAGCAGGAAGACAGAAGAGTTTCTGCCTCAGAGCGGAGGAAGGACCCGTGAACGAGGAAGCGTGGTGCTTGGGAACGCAGCCGGCATGGCGAGGCCAGTGGGCGTCTGGCTGCGGTTCTTACGTGTCCAGGAAGCTGGGCCTGTCCCCTTTTACTCTGAGTTTTGGGGCTGACCAGGCAGATGAGGGGCATGGGCGAGAGTGTGGGATGGGTCCTGGGGTACTCTGGGCTTCTCCTGTTTTGTGTCCTGGCTCACGGGCTCCTTCCCACCTCGGCTGACGGCGCCTCCCTGACCCAGGTTCCTGCTGGTCTTCTCCTGCCTCGTGCTTTCCGTGTTCTCAACCATCAAAGAGTACGAGAAGAGTTCGGAGGGCGCGCTCTACATCCTGGTGAGCCCGCGGGGGGGCTGGCCTCGGACAAGGCGTCCCACCTGCCTCTCCCCCACACCCCGCCCCCAGTTATGCCCCAGCCTGACCCGGCCTGGTCCCCACCCTGTGTCATCACAGCGCCTGACCACCCCCATTGCCCCTACTGTCCGTTCTCACAGATCCCGAGGGCCCACCTGGCGCCCTCCACTGCGGAGACGTGGGGTGTGCCCCGGTAGATGTGGGTGCAGGTAGGGCGGGGGCTGTGATGCTCACGGCAATCCCATGAGGGCCAGAGGCGGACGCTATGGCAACCACTGTAATTTCGGTGCTGCTGTGAGTGACAGAGGGGTCTCCCCAGTCCAGAATGCACCTCTGAGGAGCCCTCCCACCCCAGCCCTCCCCTGGGGCTGCCCCAGGCTTCGGGGAGGACCTTAATGACACCAGCTCAGCCAGGCCTCCCCAGCCGCTGCCATAGTCCCTGCAGTGGCTCAGCTGCGGCTTCCCCTGCAGGAAATTGTGACCATCGTGGTGTTTGGCGTGGAGTATTTTGTGCGGATCTGGGCCGCGGGCTGCTGCTGCCGGTACCGCGGCTGGAGAGGGCGGCTCAAGTTCGCCCGGAAGCCCTTCTGTGTGATCGGTGAGGCCTGGTGGGGGTGCAGGATGGACATAGGCTCTGGAAAGAGTGGGGAAGCCAGGAGAGACTGCAGAGTGCTCCGCCCTCTTGGCATCAGAGGTCGTGGTTAATGTGGCCTGAAAGGCAGGGGCGCAGGGCAGCTGTGCCCAGGGCAGGGCTGGCGGATGATAGTCAGTCTCCACACTGGGTGGGTGCTCTGCATGCACCCCTGTCCATCTGTCCATCTTCCTGGAACCCAGGTGGAGGGTCCTGTCCCCCACACACAGCTGCCTCGAGCTCCCCCTCTCCGCAGACATCATGGTGCTCATTGCCTCCATCGCCGTGCTGGCCGCCGGCTCCCAAGGCAATGTCTTTGCCACGTCTGCGCTCCGGAGCCTGCGCTTCCTGCAGATCCTCAGGATGATCCGCATGGACCGGCGTGGCGGCACCTGGAAGCTCCTAGGCTCTGTGGTCTATGCACATAGCAAGGTGAGCCGGCCTTGGCGGAGGGTGCAAGGGCTGGCTGGACAGAGCCCAGGAATTCTGGCCAGCTTTCCTGCACAGCCCCCAGCCCGTTTGGCCCTGTATGAAGCCACTGGCCCCGAGGTTGGATGGGAGTGCTGGGATCGATACCCGTCACTGCCCATTTAGGCTGCAGCTGGTGGTGGCTGCTGGCAGTGGGACCCTTAAGGTGGCTGCAGCTGCGTCCCAGCCAAAGCCTCTTCCCACATTCTAGGGAGCTACCAGGAGGCCCAGACCCTACCCTGCCTGGCTGTGCCTCCCTGGTGTGGGTCGGCTCCATTGCGGTGCTGGCCGCCAGCTCCCAAGGTCCCATGTCCCCCTACCCCCTCTCTCCCTCCTGTCTGAGCCCTGAGGTGGGGGCTTGTTCAGCAGGAACAAGGGCGTTGGTCCCTCAAGGTGCTGAGGTGCTGGACCCCTCAAGGGTGGCAGGCAGTCAGGTGTCTCCCCAGGCTCAGGGAAGTTGAGGTAGGGTGTCAGGTTCCAACATTCTTGCCTGATGGCCTGTCAGCTGCTTGGGACACTCCCAAATCTGCACAGATGTGTGTGCTGGGCTGTCCTTGCCACTGTCCTCCCAGGTGTGAAGGGCACGGCTGTGGGGACACCCAGGAAAACCAGCCACCCTGTTGCCTGCTCTGAGCTTGGAGCCATGTGGCTGGGCAGCTGCTGGCCCAGGCTACTGGGGACTGTGCATCCACTGCCGACGCCCTGGAGACACTGAGCCTCCTGGGACGACCAGCCCTGGTGCTCTGGGGGCGGGTTGGGCTGGACGCTGGCCAGGTGCTGTGACATGGCTGTCTCTTCCAGGAGCTGGTCACCGCCTGGTACATCGGCTTCCTGTGCCTCATCCTGGCCTCGTTTCTGGTGTACTTGGCAGAGAAGGGCGAGAACGATCACTTCGACACCTACGCAGATGCGCTCTGGTGGGGCCTGGTGAGTCCCAGCCGCTGGGCTCATGGTCCTTTATTGAGGATGTGCTCACTGGGCAGGGCCTTCCTTGGGGACCCTCATCTACACCCTCCCGCGTGTCCTCTGTGCCCCTGTATGGCCACTGCCAGGCCTGGTGTGTGACCTGACTCGCTGTCCTACAGATCACCCTGACAACCATTGGCTACGGGGACAAGTACCCTCAGACCTGGAACGGGAGGCTTCTGGCAGCCACATTCACCCTCATTGGTGTCTCCTTCTTTGCTCTTCCTGCCGTGAGTCCTGCTCCCCTTTCTGCCTTTGATGGAGGTGGGGTGTTGGGCTCCCAAGGTAACCATAGGCTGCCCTGGGCACCTGTCCCCTAAGGGAACGTGGGACAAGAGCGGGGCTCCAGGTAGGGCCTACAGCCCTCTGGGAGCTGGAGGTGGAAGCTCAGGTGCAAGGAGGTACCCTTCCTGGGAACCCAAGTGGAGCTGCTTGGGCCTGGCCTGGTAGCTTCCAGAACACATCATTAGCATGCTCCGAGTGTCCCCAGGCTATGGCTTCTGACCCCATATCTGTTGGTCACTGTCAGCTCCTCCCGGTCTGGGGGGACTGGCCAGTAAGGTCCTCATGACCAGGATCAGTGCTGTATGATGAAACGGCTCCCTTGTCGGGTCTCCAGGGGATCAAAGACCCCATCTCCTCAGAAAAGGCAAAGACTCTGTTCTGCCCACCTACCCCCGGGCCAGGCAGAGGGCCAGCAGGTGAGCGGCAGGCAGCCTGGAGAGTCTGGCCTGCACTCGCTACAGTGTGGACAGACCAGGGAAGGGGATTAACCTTTGGACCCAGATATGTTCAGTGTGGGCACTGCCATGCTCCTGCAGGCTGACATGTCCTTTACTTCATATCCAAGTGTTTCCCCCCAACCTAGTATCCAGGGGGTTAGGGACTGAGAAGGTGGGAGGTGGAGCCAAGAGGCAAGTGTGGGGTGGGAGTGGGGCACTGCGGTCCCAGGCGCTTTCTGACACCAATGATTTGTAGGGCATTTTGGGGTCTGGTTTTGCCCTGAAAGTTCAGGAGCAACATCGGCAGAAGCATTTTGAGAAGAGGCGAAACCCTGCTGCAGGCCTGATCCAGGTGAGCCCAGGTGACCCCCACTTAGGACCAGTGGAACCCCCCACCTGGTCCCATTGTGTCCAGGAGCAAAGCCCTGCTTGGTGTTGTCCCTGTGTATGGACAGGCCTTTGTCCCGCTAGGAACTTGGGCAGGAAGGCTAGTGCATGTGTTGAGAACCAGTTCAGAGGCCCAAGGTTGGACAGTAGCACAGGGCACTATCTCACGGGTCCTGCACATGTGGGTTGGGGCTCAGAGACTACCTCTCACATAGCCAGTAGTGCTGAGCCACATCTGTGCTACCCTTCACACAGCCAACCCCACCACTAAGGATACAGCAGCACTCCATGTCCAGTGGTGCTTCCTGAGCCATCTAAGAGTTTGCCTTTGCTTTATTCACCTGGAAACTCAGAGGGCTCTGGGTGTCTGTGCAATGCAATGGCAGCTGTGCTAGCTGCAGCCACTGGGGCCAGGTGCAGCAGGTGTGACCAGCCATGGGCAGATTGAAAAACCTAGAAGGCACGGTCTGGGAAGCAGACACAGGAAGAAATTAGGACTCCGGAAAGACCCCGTATGTGAGGGAACTACAAGACCAGACACATGTCCAAGGCTGGATGCAGGGTCAGAGGTGACTGGAGAAGACCCCAAGCCTTCCCCTCAGGCTGACCTCTGGCTTTGTGCAAGCAGGAAGTACAGGCTAATGTGGAGTTGTAAGTGGCCTCACCACATGTTGAAGGAGTGTCCAACACAGAGCCAATTGGCAAAACTGAATAGTGTTCCTCTTTGGTGCCTTGGGTTTAAGGAAACCTCCGTTAAAGCAGTAGCCGACCACTGGCTAATGGAGCAGAGACACAAAATACAGCGTGTCCGAAATAATTTAGAAAAGTCAGTAAACAAACAGCCACAATCAACAACAGCAACAACATACCCTGAGGAGGGGCAGAATCTGACTTCCAGAGGTTTGACGTTACAACATCCAGAACATCCAGTTTTCTTTTTCTTTTCTTTTCTTTTTTAAAATTTAATATATTTTTATTGATTTCAGAGAGGAAAGGAGAGGGAGAGAGAGATAGAAACATCAATGATGAGAGAGAATCATTGATCGGCTGCCTCCTCCATGCCCCCTACAGAGTCTGCAACCTCGGCATGTGCCCTCACCAGGAATCAAACCATGACCTCCTGGTTCATAGGTTGATGCTCAACCACTGAGCCATGCTGGCCAGGCCAGAGCATCCAGTTTTCAGCAAAAAAATTATGAGGCAGAAGAGAGGGAAAGAAAGGGGCAAAAAGAACATTTGAAGAAATAAGGTTCAAAACTTTCCAAATTTGATGAAAGATGTGAATCGACACATATAAGAAGTTCAGTGAACTCCAAGGAATAAAACAAAGACCCACAAGACACATTGTGGTCAAACTAAGACCCAAAGACAAAGACAGCATCTGAAAGTAGCAAGGGAAGTGGCTCTTCAGGGAGGAGGATCCTCAGTAAGACTAACAGCTGATTTCTCATCAGAAACTATGGAAGCCACGGGCAGTGGGATGACATATTTAAAGTCTTGGAAAAAAAATGCTGTCAGACAAGAATCATATTTCTGGCAAAACTATCCTTCAGAAATGAAGGAGAAATGGACATTCCCATGTAAACAAGAGCTGAGGGAGTTTGTCACTGGTAGACTTGCCTACAAGAAATGCTACAGGGCATCCTTCAGATTGGTCAGTAACTCAGGCCGTATGAGCACTGGGAGAGGTAGCCAGAGGCAAACAGAAGAGCAGTATTAAATTTTTGGTTTGTAACTCATTTTTTTCCTATGTGATTTCAAAGACATGCATAAAGCAGTAATCACTAATCTACATTTCTGAGCACACAATGTATAAAGGTGTAATGTGTAATAAAGACAACATAAGGGGGCCTGCGTAGCAGCAGAGTTTTGTATCCTACTGAGGCTAAGTTGGTGTACATTTTAAGTACACACCCAAAGGAATTGAAAACGGTGTTTACTCAGAAATGTGCACACCAGTGTTTGCAGCAGCCTTATTCACAACAGCCCAAAGATGGAAACAACCCGTGTGTTCATCAACAGAAGAATGGATGAACGGAACTGCTGTCACCCATCACACTGAATATTGTTTATTCAGCCTTAAAAAGAACGAGGCACGTGGATGGGCCTCGCAAACACGCTGCGAGAAGGAAGCCAGCACCAGAGGCCATGCGTCTCTGATTCCATTGGCTGGGAACCCAGGAGGACTGTGTGTCCCGGGGGTTGCCGGAGCCTGGGGTGTACAGGGGTGATGGCTGAAGGGGAAGGGGGTGGTTGATTCTGAGGTGATGAGGATGGAACCAGATGCTGTGACTTCACCACACATACACAAGTTGGGGGTGGAGACCCAGGCCAGGGCAAGACGGCTAGCCAGCAGGCCAGGACCCCACACTGTGCTCACGTTGATTCCCCCATGGTCTGTGGGCCACTACGCTGGGAGGATGGAGGCCTGTGTTCCTTGTCCCCCAGCTCCTGTGATCCCACAGGCCATGTATGTCCCTTCAGGACTGGGGAGGCAGGAGGTGACCACGAAACCAGGCTATAAACTGCCAGGTGTCAGGTAGGACTGATGAGGAAAGGAGCAGCCTGCTGGTGTGCCCCCAGTCCCGCCGCCAGACCCTGCCAGCTGCGGTGGGCAGGCGCGCCCTCCAATCGACAGGGTGAATCAGGGCCTGGGGGCAGAGACAAGTGGGAGGGCCCGTGTGGTCCCCACGCCCTGGCCCTGCCCTCGTGGTTGACCCGTCATGTCTTCCCTGCAGTCTGCCTGGAGGTTCTACGCCACCAACCTGTCGCGCACGGACCTGCATTCCACATGGCAGTACTACGAGCGCACGGTCACTGTGCCCATGTACAGGTACCGCCGCCGCCCTGTGCCACCGTGCCTCCTCGCCTTTCATTTCCCATCTGTTTGGAAGCCCCATTTTTTGATGTTCATTATTTTTATTGATTTTTGTTTCTTTTTTTCTTTAAAATTTATGTGCTTTTCAAAATGGAGTTCCGTGTGTGGTTTATTTCGCTGTTGATTTAGCTTTGTTTCATAGCTCGCAGCTTTTTTTTCACCTCCATCCCCCCATTCAGCCTCCTCGCCAGGTACATGGTGTGGGCACTGCGAGGACGGCCCCCGAGAGCTCGGGCACACGCCCCAGCACAGGACCGGGGGGCAGCTCCCCCTTTAGAGGACCGGGGTCTGTACACCGGAAGGAGGGTGACCCCTGAACACAGCGAGGCTTTAGGACCAGGAGATACATGCACCCCGGGGTCCCAGGCGCCCCTCATTGGGCGGAAAGGGGCCAGAAGCCCTGTCTAGGCGTGGTTGGTGGGGCGCTGCCAACAGGCCCATGAGTCCGCGTGGCCAGCAGGCAGAGCTTTCCAGGCAAGAGCAGCTGGCAGCCTGGATGAGAGTGGCTGCCCAGGGTTTGTCTGTGCCGGGCTGCTGCTTAGACATCAGTCTGAGGTCATAGGGGCTGGGGGCTGCCCGGTACCTGCCCAGGCCTCGTGCCCTTGGGAGGGTGGGTGCTGCCCTGCCCTCTGCCCTCTGCGGTGAAGCTTCCCAGCCCAGGATGCCCCTTGCCCACCCCAGGGTTTGTGCCCAGGGACCCCTCACCTGAGGGGCTGGGCAGAGTCCTCCCGAGGTTCTTGAAGCCAGGGAGGCCTGGCAGGACAGAGGCTGTTCCCGCTGCCACTGGCCTCCGAAGAGACTTGCCATCTGGGAGCTGCGCCCACGTCCATGGGGAACGCCTCCCGCCCTGCAGCTCCAGGCACTGTGGCCCCTCCCGCCGGGCGGACAACCGTGCGCTAATTTTCTCTGTTCTGTTGTTTCCCCCACTCTCCTCGACTGTTTTTTCATTTTCTTTTCCTTATCCCGTTCTTTTTAAATGTCCGTTCTCTCCCTTGTGTGTGTGTGAAACACTTGAAAGCTCGCAAGCTCAAACCTACGGGGCCTCCAGGTAGGACACGCATGGGACGAAAGCGTGGTGTGGTCTGTCCCCTGTGTGACTGTCACGGCCACCCGTGTGCCGGCCAGTGGCTTCCCTGCCACGCCCCTGCACCCCTGCCCAGTCTGGGCCTGGCCAGGCCCTGCCCTGTCACCCTGTGTCCCCGCCCGGAGTGCACTTTCCTCGCCTCCCCCGTTCCCTCTCTCAACTGTCCCCCCGCACCCCCAGCCGCTTTCTTGTGCTGGATCGGTCTGTCCAGGCCTTGGTCCTCGTCCTGCTTCCGCCTGTCTCAGTGGCTGGGGTTCTTCCCTTGCCCACGCCCACCCCATGGGCCATGTGTGCACAGCACAGGCGTGTTGGAGCTGGACACTCCTCTTCCCACTCGGGGCCACGCCACACACGGCCGGCCGGGCAGCTGGCCTCTGGGCCTGCCTGGGCCCTCCCTGTGGATTCGACACCCCTTCTTCCTGCTGCCACAAGAGGGAGACACAGGCCCTGGGAGGAGAGGTGGCCCGCGGTCCATCCCGTCCACTGGAATGCTGTGTCCGCATCTGCACTAGGGCTCTCTCCTGCCTGGAGGGAGGAAAAGATTGGGGTGCTGAGCTGATACAGGAAATTTCACCCCACACAGCACTCCTTCCCTGCGGAGGTGGGGGGGACTGCTGGGCGCACACAGCCTGCAGCGCAAGCGGCCTCCGTGTGGACAGAGCGGGGTCCTGGGCAGAAGCTCTCCTGCCCCCTCCAGGGCCCCGTCCCTTGGTGGCGCGGAACCTTGTTAGGAAGTTAACCTGCCAGCCCCAGAGGGGAGAAGGGTGTCGGGCTGGGCAGTGCAGGGCCAGGCTCCACGATGGGCAGGCCCTGAGCCCCCATGGCATCCCCACTGCTGACCCCGAGGCTTCACACTGAGAAGAAGGCGGTGGCAGGAGCTGTGTCCTCCCTAGTCTGGGACCCGGGATTCCTGAGGCTCCAGGCTGCCTGGGCAGTTGGGGAGATCCTGACAGACTCCGAGACCTGGACGTTTCCCTGATCACCCTTCTGGCCGGCCCAGATCCTCCAGGGTCTGCAGAGGCGACCCTCCCCTCCCCTCGGGGCCTCGGTGGCTCCAGGTGCCCGCGAGCTGGCTGACCCCCAGACTAGCTGCTGTGCCTCCTGGGAGATGACCCTGGCGTGTCCCCGCTCCTGTCAGCACACTGCACCCCCATCCTCCACGGCCACTGCCCTCAGAGATGACGGCTGTGTGCCTGGCCCTGTGTGTGGTGCCTGCGTATTCCTGCCCACAGCCCTGCCCGCCTGTGTTCCGTCCCCTGTGCTGTGTGTCCCGGGCATGACGTCCCCTCTGAGTGTTCCTAACCTTGGACCTGCATGTGTGGGGCCGTCCCGGGCTCTCTGCTCCAGGCCCGTGGCTGGTGGCCGAGGAGAGTGGGGGGCAGCTCTGTCCCTGTGTTCAGTCCTGGGGGAGGGAAAGGGCTCCCAGGGCCACCCCTTCTCCAGCAGGTCCCAGCACGCCAGGAAGCAGGGCTGTGGCCAGGGAACAGGGCTGTGCTGGGAGCTGTGGGGCTGTGTCTGGACCCTGCTGGGCGGTGGTTGCCTGTGGAGGTGTGGTCCCTAAACCAGTTCATGTGCCCCTGTGAGTGCAGGCCGAGCCCCTGAGGTGGGGTTTCTGGGAGGAGGCCAGCCCAGGCGAGAAGTCCCAGCAGGGGCAGTGCCTGGGGGTCAGGGTCAGGGCCACTCTAGGAGGGGTCTTCGCTGCTGAGGGGCAGATCCGGAGTTGAAGGTTTCTGGCTGTGCCGGGCCTGCAGATGGGCAGTGACTGGACAGAGGGGAGTGTGGAGGGGCCAGAGGGAAGCCAGAGACGAAGGGGCAACCATCAGAGTCAGGTGTGCAGTGGAGTCCACGACCTTTCTGAATGCGTGAGCATGAGAATGACAGGAGCCCATCACACTGAGGGACCAGACTGAAGGCCTAGGCTGAAGTGCGGGAGGGGAGGGGCTGGGTGAGGCCTGTGTGATGACCCCAAGCGAGGTCGCCAAGGTGAGGCTCAGACACAGTCCCGGGGGTGGGGGTGGGGGTGGGGGTGCGGCCAGGGGCCCCTGGAGTCAAGAAGGACGGAGGCTGGGGCTGGGGCTGGGGCTGGGGCTTGGGCTGGGGCTGGGGCTGGGGCTGCGGCTGAGGCTGGGGCTGGGGCTGCGGCTGAGGCTGGGGCTGGGGCTGGGGCTGGGGCTGGGGAGAGGGCTGGGGCTGGGGCTGGGGCTGGGGCTGGGGCTGGGGAGAGGGCTGGGGCTGAGGCTGGGGCTGGGGAGAGGGCTGGGGCTGGAGAGAGGGCTGGGGCTGGGGCTGGGGCTGGGGCTGGGGAGAGGGCTGGGGCTGGGGCTGAGGCTGGGCCTGGGGCTGCGGCTGGGGCTGGGAGCGGGTCTTGGAGCCTGGTTTTAGGGAGGGACTGCCACTCAGCAGGCTGAGGGGTGAGTGGGGTGTCACAGTGATGGGGGCTGGGCCAGGAGGGAGAGGCCTTGGGTCACACAGGGTAAGTGGAAATGAGGGGGCAGGAGGTGGCGAGGACTGAGAGTGGTATGAAGACGTCTCCCTGACGTTGGAGGGGACTCGAGCCCCAAACGAGGCTCCTGCCCCGTCCTGCAGGTGGAACTGGGGGGCCTGGGGCCTCCCCAGGAATCTCCTCGGTCCACAGATCTTATGCCCTGGTGTGAAGGCAGGCTTGTATGGAAGTCAGCCTGGACCTGCCCCGGGGCCAGCAGGAGGGGTGGGGGTGGGGGGGGTGTGAGGCTGTCTGTGGGTGTGACTGGGTCTGGGGAGAGGGGGCTTGGAGCAGAGCCGGGCCAGCCGTCCAGGCCTCTCCCTGTCCAAGCAGCCTCTTCACAGTGACCTTGACCTTGCCCTGACTTGGCAGAGAGGGGTCTGGGAGCCTAGGCTGTAGGTACTGTGTGTGTGGCTGTGCTGCCCTGGGGTGTTCAGGGATGGGGAAGGGGACAGGAGGAGGCGACCCCTGCCTGTGCCCGGTGCCCTGCTTGACCCGCTCCATGCGCTCAGGGGTCGGAGTCTCCGTGGATGACAGCCTGGGCGCTGCTCCCTTCCCTCTGCCGTGCATGCTGGTCACCGGCCACGTCCAGGGCCAAGGCCCCAGGACAGGTGTGGCCAGAGCACGCAGATGGGCTTCCTCTGCCGGCGACCACCCGCCCCGTCCCTGGGCTCCTGTGTGTGAAGTGGGAGCTGGGGCGCGGTCCCCGGCTCAGGCGGCGGCCTCACTGCCCTCTCCCCCTCAGACTGATCCCACCGCTCAACCAGCTGGAGCTGCTGCGGAACCTCAAGAGTAAATCCGGACTCACGTTCAGGTCAGCGAGGCGCTGCGGGCTGCAGCTCGGGCACAGGGGTGGGCTGCCGTCCTCCTGAGGGCACTGCTGCCCCTAGGGACCTGGACGGGGGGACACCGGACACCGGCTGGACACAGGGCCGGGTGACGTCCGCGTGCTCGACACAGGTGGGCGTGGAGTGCAGAGGAGGGTCCCGGTCCCGTGTCAAGAGCTCTGAGTGGGCAGAGCAGCTGCACGGCCCGTGCAGCCCCGTCCCCCGGAGGCGGTCTGGGCCTGGAGCCTGTGAAGGGACGGCAGTTGGGGAACCTTGTGGGTGTGAGTAAGTGAAGGGTCTCAGTGGGAGGTCGCTCTGGGTCAGCGAGGCCCTAGATGCAGGCACGCGTGTCCTCACGAGGGGTAGCGGAAAGGGCCGTGTGAGTGCAGGGGGAGACGGGCCCTGGAGCCTCGGTCCCAGGAGCCAGGGGAACCCCCTCCCCAGCTTGGACCCGGCTCCAGAATGGGGGGTGTCAATTTCTGTGGTTCAAGCCCCCAATTGGTGGTCCTTGATCCAGAAGAAACAGGAAGCTCATACAGGTCCCGGGAATCGGGGCCAGCACGTACCGAGTGGCCTGGGTGCTGGGCAGGCAGTTTGGGGACGGCCGTGAAGAGGGTGAGGGACGAGCCAGGGCGTGTGGAAGGAAAGGCTGCTGGGAACGGGACGGGAGGACCCTGTGTCCAGTTGCTGGGACTGCGGTGTGAAGGGGGAACGGGACGGGAGGGCCCTGTGTCCAGTTGCTGGGACTGCAGTGTGAAGGAGCCCTGTGTGTGCGGCAGGAAGCGGCTGAGTCGCTGCGGGGCCAGCTGGACAGCAGAACCTGCAGGGCCGAGGCCCTCGGTGCGGTTTCCAGCTGTGCCGTGTTCCCTGCTGCTGGTCCCTGGTGGCAAAATGCACAAAATGCGGGAGGAGAGGCGAATCTGGGGAGGAACTGCTGAGCAGAGACGCCAGCCTCAAAGACGTGGGGGTTGGCCGGCCAGATTGCGAAGGACAGTACGTGGGAGGGAGACCCAGTGCAGGAAAGGCGCTTCGGGGAGGGCCCGGGCGGGCGGGCGGGCGGGCGGACTGTGGGGGAGATTCAGGACTCGTGGTTCCAACCAGCCCTCCTTGCGGGAGCAGGCGTGGAGAGGGGCCTCTGGGGAGAAGCGAGAGCCCCTGAGCGGTGACCCCTTTCCCAGGCCCTGCCCCCTGGGGCTCAGGAGCGGTGGCTGTGGGTGCGGGCAGGGTGGCGAGGGGGTGGTGGTGCCAAGGGAGGCCTCCTGGCCCCTGGCGGGCGGGGTGTGCCTTGGGGGGTCGTTCCTGACCATCTTCTTGCTTCTGTTTGAAGGAAGGAGCCACAGCCGGAGCCGTCCCCCAGGTGAGTGCGTGCCCACGCCCGCGTCTGCATGCGGTGCTGGGGCCAGGGCTGTGCTGGGAGTTGTGGGGCTGCGTCTGGACCCTGCTGGGTGGTGGTTGCCTGTGGAGGTGTGGTCCCTAAACCAGTTTCCTGTGCCCCTGTGAGTGCAGGCCGAGCCCCTGAGGTGGGGTTTCTGGGAGGAGGCCAGCCCAGGTGAGCAGTCCCAGCAGGGGCAGTGCCTGGGGGTCAGGGTCAGGGCCATTCTAGGAGGGGCCTTCTCTGCCTGAGGGGCAGATCCGGATGTGCTGAGTTTCTGGGGAGAATGGGAAGTTCCCTCTTCACACAGGGTCTCAGCAGGCCCCCCCATTCTGCTGTGGCAGCAGGTTAGAGACCCGAGGAGGGGCTCTGTGGGTGACCTCTGTGCAGGTGGAGCCAGGGTGTGGCCCAGTATCTCCCTCGTGGCAGCAGAGAATTCAGGCCATACCACAGCTTCACGTCGTGAGCTGCAGCCTGGGGGTCCCCCAGGCCCCATCCATTCACTGCAGAGGGAGGCCAGTCCCCCGATGGGGGCCAAAGGCACCACCCTCCTGCTGCTCCCCACGGTGGTGCCCTCCGGGACCAGGGCAGCTCATCTGGCTGCTCTGGTGGTGTAGACGGAATCGGCTGAGCCTACCCTCTCCAGCCCTTGAGGACACACTGCTCCATCCCTGGGCCCCAAGGAGGGAATGCTGGCCGGTGCCTGGAACTGGAAGGAGCCGTGCTTCTGTCCCGAACTGCCCAAAAGGGCCGAAGTGAAGGGACCCCTCAAAGAGGCTGAGGAAACGCTTTTGGGCAGGAGTTGGTTTAGCCCAGGGGTGGTGGGGGCTGGTCTGTGCCTCGCTGGGCACCTGTGGGTGGCAGCCTCTGGGGCCACGCCCACCTGTCCTCTGCCCATTGTCTGTGAGAGCCCCCGTGGCCTGAGGCGGCTCCGGTGGGCTCCCTGCGCTCATGGCCCCAGCTGTTCTCCCCTCCAGCAACTCTGGTCTCAGCCTCTCTCTCTCTCTCTCCTCTCCTGCCCTCCCCTTCCCCAATCTGGAAATCTCGCCCCCAAGTGCCTTTAATCATGGCACTACCCTTCTTGGGCCCTTTCACGCGCGCTCTGTCTTTGGGGATGAGGTGCTGGCCCTGAAAGCAGGACTCAAGGTGAGGACACGGGCGCCTCCGGGCTCTGTGCTATGCTCCCTGCCCCTCACCAGTCCTCCGTCCTCCCTGTGTCCTGTGTCCCTGCCTGCCCCTGGCCCAGCAGCTTCCCCCAGGGCCAGCCTGGCCCCGCCTCCTCCTGGGAACCAAGGACTTTGCCTCACCTGAGAGGCACACCTATCAGCCAGGTAATGGCTAGAGCATTTCTGCCCCTCCCCTGGGGCAGCCACCCCCTTTTTAGCACCATGGTAGGCGTGTAGGAAACCTACACTGCACTGCACTGCACTCGTCCCCAGGGTGTCCGTGGGCTGCCGGGAGCGGTCCTGTTCCGTAAGTGCAGGTGGATGGGTGGACGCAAGGACCCTTGCTCAGCTCCCGTGAGCCGGGCTCATGGTGGGCACACATCACAGCTGTGTGGCGTCAGACCAAGGCCGTCTGCACTAGGGCTGGAGCTGGGGCCGGGGCAGCCAGGGGTCTCGGGCTGTGCTGCTCTGGGCGTGCCCCTGACCCACCCTCTGACCCTTCCCATTTCTGACTGCCCCCGCCCCCACTCTGTCCCTGGAGGAGACCCCTGCTCCCACCGCTTTGCCCCTTGTCCATGTGTGTCCCTCCTTGTCACAGGCGTGTCTGTCCAGTCGGTCTTGGTGAGTGTCTGTGATGGGTCTTCCTCCCTCCTGGGCCTGGCCTCCCTGGACTTGAAGCCGAAGCTCTAAGACAAGTGACGCTCGGGTTGGCTGAAGGAGGCAGGAACACCAGTGCCAGCCTGGAGCCCAGAGGGGACAGGCAGAGTCGGGAGTCCTTGACGCCCCAGGCTCAGGGTTGGGGTGCCAGTAGCCCACGGTCCTCAGCTCCGTCAGGCTCTGAGGCTGCACTGCCCCACACAGGAGCCACGGCCACGTGTGGCTGTTTAGGTTCCCACTGACATGAATACAGTGAGCAGCCGGCCCTGCCCCCAGTGCTCTGGAGCCGGGTGTGGGCTGGCTGTCAGACCGCAGTGGGAGCCGTCGTGCGGGGGGCTGAGGGGCCCTGGGAAATGCTTCCAGGGCAGGCGACTGAGTGGGAGGTTCGCAGCAGCAAACCGGGACCCTTCACGGGCCGGGAGCCGAGCCACCCCATCGCTCTTTTTCCCAGGGGCAGCCTGAAGGTGGAGCTGCATGTGCAGGCCTGGGACCCCGGGGGCACAGGAGGCTCTGGTGGACTTGCGGCTGACATGGAGGGTGCCCTGGGAGAGAATGTTTGCCCCAAACTTGAGGGGCTTCTGTGAGCAGCCAGAGCTGCCAGGCGGGGGTCTGGGTCCTGGGAGTACGGAGTCACCGGAGGTTTGCCCGTGTGAGACCACTTGCCGGGGCTGGGCCCCAGCTCCCTCCCGTCGGGACTAAGTCGCCTGGCGGGTCCTGTTCTTCACCCAGACGACAGGACAGGTCCCACAGGAGGAGGCTCGCGGGGCACAGGTTCTTCTTGGGGGAGCATGGGGGGCCAGGGGAGGGCTTCGAGGACCCTGGGCTGGCTGTCTCGGAGGTCTCACGCGGTTCCTTTATGTGGGAGTGGAGAGAGGTGTCTGGACACCAGCAGGTGCCACCGATGTTTCAACGAATGTGTGTGTGGATGCTGAGCCCTCCTCCTGGAGCTGAGGCCAGCAGGTGCGTCTGGGTTCCTCAGGTGCACAGTTTGAGAACTGCTGTCTCAGGAGCAACAGCTTCGAAGGTGGAGAAAGAGGGAGAGGCCCCAGGAAAGCCAAGGATTTTTTGTAGTTCTTGTTTCTTGCTTTCTTGCGTGTTCTGGTGCAGAGATAAGTCCCCTCTCGGGAGGTCCTAGAGTGCTGACCGTTGGGGGACGCCCCCAGGCACCCCCTCCCCGGCCTGGCAGATCCACCGACTTTGGCCCCCAACCCCCTCTCTCCTGAGCCTCTGACTGGGCAGCTGGCTTGGCTCAGCCAAACCTTACTATTGGTTTGTGAAACCAAACTGCACGTTTTCCTCCCTAAACATGTGCTTTCCAGAATCTTGTCCATCTAGTGCAAGCCTTTTGAAAGTCTTAGCCCATGTATTATTTTTTTATTCACATGAATGCAGCAAAAAATAATACATCTTTTTAAAAGACGTGACCCCAAGCTCTGACTCTAGAAGGAAAAGGCATTTTGGGAGGGAAAAACAGGGAATTTTATTTTTTCTCCCCAAACAGGGGACTGTTTCTTTCCCAGGCCGGCGGAATACTTGATGTGCAGCCTCCGCAAGGCCCTTGCTCAGACACAAGCTCTGTGGCTGGTGGACCCTGAGCCCAGAGCTGCCCCAGGGGTGGTCATGGTGCCTCAGTTTACCTGCCCACTCGCCCAGCCCAGGCTCCCTGCCCAGGGGACTAACTGTGCTCTCCTCATTTCCAGTAAAGGCAGAACGTGCAGAGAGGGCCTGTGTGGATGCTGCCCTGGACACTCTAGGTACCACGGACGCATGGCACGGACGCCCTACTGCACGGCTCTTCCGCTCCAAACACTGCTTATTAGAAGTTCTAGATGAGCTGGAGAGGCCCCGGCTCCCCCAATTCTGATCGGCAGCTAGGCCCACAGCCCGCGTGGGGCAGTGCTAGGCACCCTCTGACTCCCAAGCTCTTTCTCCTTAAGCAAAGGAGCCCTGCTCCCAGCAGGAGGGGCCGGCCAGGGGCTTGAGGACCCAGAAAGGGCGCTGGCCCTGGGACCCTGACTGCTCCAGAAGCCTCTCTCCAGGGCCAGTCTAGCACCTCTACTAGGCACCTGGGTCAGCTCCCCCTCATCCGCCACCTCGCTGCCTGCCGGGGCAGCTCCGTCCTGTGTGTGGCCGGCTCCCGTGGTGCTCACACACCAAACACACCAGAAAGCCAGAGGCCCACAGCTCCCCTTCCCATGTACAGGCCTGGTTGAGGGCAGACTGGAATGGGCCGGCGGAGAGGCGCACCCCGTGACACCATGAGCACCTCAACGGCACCGTGTGCTCCTCTGTCCGCTGTCAGGGGTGGGTGCAGAACTGTCTGTCTTTCTGCTTGCTCAGAGTGCACCCACCCGTCTCCCTCCTGCCCGCCTCCTGCCCTGACCAGGGCAGCCCTGCAAGTGTGGGCAGCTACTCACGTGTCCTGTGCATGTGGTCAGTGCCGAGGGGTAGGCGTCGGGAGGGGCCGTGCAGCAGGATCAGGGCCCAGCCGGCCGCATGCTTGCACCTCTGCACTCTGCACCCGTGCATGCTCCAAACCCTGCTCCACCCTGAGGGGCTCAGAGGGTCCCCCACCTGTCCATGCTGCCTGTGTGTTCACAGATGTGGGCGCTTGTGGGATGACTTGTAGCCCTAGGAGGAGAGATCTGGGCTGGGCAGAGGCGGTCCTGCTTGCCCGGAGCTGTGTCCATGGTGCATCTAGCCACAGGCTGCTCCCTCAGGTCAGGGACTGTGGTCAGGCAGCGTGGGGATAGAAGAGCCAGGAGGCCAGGCCAGGTGCCGTCCTGCTGTGCACAAGCCTCAGGAATGTCATTTCATCCTGGGCATCGGGGCCCAGCCATGCCCGGCAGCTCCCCCACCACTGAGCGGCCCACCGTGCAGACCTCTTACCCGCCCCATCCCAATGTGCAGCTGGCCCCACATATTGAGAATTTCGCCCTGGGCATGACGGGCAGGGAGGGGAACTGGGCCTCGGTGTTCTCTCCCAGGTCCTCCTGAATGTGCCCCCAGCCCTATGTAAGCGCCAGGGCCTCAGCCCCTCCCTTGGGCTGACTCTGTCCTTGGCTTGTGAGGTGAGGGAGGGAGAGCCGGCGTTTGGGCATCTGGAGTTGGGGCAGGTCCAGTGGCTGCGGTGGGATGCAAGTGGCTGGGTGCACTGAGCCTCAACGACTGTGGAGGTCCCGGTGTCCACCCTGTGACACCTTCCAGCAGGGGACCCTTCCTGGTCGAAGCAGGTGCACGGCGGGGCCAGGCGGGGCCAGGGCAGGCTCCTTCCTGTGGCTCCATCCTCGTGGGTCTGAGTTCCTGGGCCCCTGTGAGCTGCCTGGGCCGTAGGTCCCGCCAGGGTCCCCAGCTCTCCTGGCTGGGCGGGGCCACACTGCTCAGGGTCTCCCTGGACCAGCTGGTGGCCTTTGTTGGGACAGGAACACAGAAGAGGTCATTTGTCCAGAGGCCCCATGCTGCCTCAGTCCCCACCTGCCCATTCAGGCCTTGCCTGCCCTCAGTGGTCGCCAGCTCGGAACCAGTGTCCTGAGGAAGCTGACGCCTGGCCTTGTGCTCGCAGGGGCTCCGGTGTGTGTGTGTGGGGGGGGGGGGGGGGGAGGGGCTGCCCACAGTGGGCTCCACACCTTGGGGCCATCTGCGCAGTTCTGTTCTGCAGAGCCCCTGACCTAGTGCACGGTCTGCGGGCCGGGGCAAGGAGGGTGCCAGCCAGGCCAGGTGGGCCGGTGGTGGGCTGCCTCTCCATGGCCGGTCATCACTGCGCCGCCAGACGGTGTGTCCAGGCTGTGCGTTCTGGTTGGGGCCGAGGGAGGTGGCTACCCGGGGTAGCACGGGGGGCTGGCGATGTCTGAGGTTAGCAGGTGTGGCCGTTCCCACAGGAACCCCTGGGCAGGTTTGTCATAAGCCAGCAGGGGCAGCAAGGGGCCCAGTTCACAGAGCCTGCTGTCTTCTCGAGCACATGAAGGGACTGCCCAGGGGCCGCCCGACTCCTGGCTGCTGCCCAGAGGGTATGGGAGCCAGGCACACTCAGTGCCAGACCCATCTCCACAGTTACTAGATGTGTGGACAGGGAGGCCCGTGGGGCTGTGGCTGGCCGGCCCTGGCCACCCCTCCCTGCCAGGGCTCAGGACAGCCAAGTGGCTGCAGAGCATACCCACCCACTCCATCCTCCAGGAGCGGACCGTCAGCTCCCATGCGCCCTGGGGGTAGGGGTGGAGCCTGGGCGGCTCCGGGCAGAGGGGAGGTGGACAGAGACCCCCCCAAGTTGCTTCTTGTGTCATGTCCTCACCCTGCTCCCCGGGCTGCAGAGCTTACCCCTCCTGACTCTGGGGCAGTTGTAGAGTGTGGAGGCGAGACAGGGAGCCTGCGGTGGTCAGGTGCCCACACTGATACCCAGGGAGAAGCCGCTGGTGCTGGGCATTTGGGGACTCGTCCTGCTGTGGGTGTCACTGTGGAGAGGGAGGCCTGGCTGGACAGTGTGGACAGGGCTGGGCCCCTTTTGGTGGTAGGCAAAGTGATGTACGAGTTCCCTGACCAGTCCCTGAGCCAGCCCAGGACCCCATGGTGGAATTGACCTGGTGACCTCCGACCCCCGGGCTCCAGGCCAGGCCAGCGGCCCAGCGGGCATTTCTCTGGGGCTGGGCTGCAGCTGCTCGCCATGTGGGAGGATGTTGGCTAAGAGCAGCTGACGGGTCCAGCGTGCTATCCAGAGTGACTCCTGCTCTCTTTCTGTGTGTCCGTCCTGGGAGCAGCCAGAAGGTCAGTTTGAAAGACCGTGTCTTCTCCAGCCCCCGAGGTGTGGCTGCCAAGGGGAAGGGGTCCCCACAAGCCCAGCCCGTCAGGCGGTCACCCAGCGCCGACCAGAGCCTGGAGGACAGTCCGAGCAAGGTGCCCAAGAGCTGGAGCTTCGGGGACCGCAGCCGTGCGCGGCAGGCCTTCCGGGTCAAGGGCGCTGCGTCTCGGCAGAACTCGGAAGGTGGGTCAGGTCTGCCACCGCTGTGACCCGGCCTCTTCCAGGGCTCACCCCCAAGTGCAGGCCCGCTTCATCCGTTGCTTCTTTTATTGAGGGAAACTCACGCCCCATAAAATTAGCCGTTTTAAAGTGACCGTTCCGAAGCATCGGCGTGTCCACTCTCTGGCTCCAAGACATTTCATCCCCCAAAAGGAGCTCCCTTAGCGGCCCCCCGCCCCGGCCACGCCAGCGGCTTTCCTCTCGGGAAGTGTCCTGGACATGTCGGGCAGGCGGGCCGTGCGGCTTCTGTGTTGGGCGCCCGGCCGAGTTCATGGGGTGCTCTCTGGGCTCATCCGTGGCGCACGCTCCTTTTCATGCTGAGCGGTGTCCCGCCGTTACTGGGTGTGGACACGCCCCACTCTGGCCCCCGTCCGTCCACTCACAGTGATGCCCCTGCAACCCTCACCTCGCACCCCCGCAGGCCAAGGCCAGCAAAGCTGTCGAGAAAGAACAGGTGGAATCTAGAGCATGTGGGCCCGACATGCCTGAGGGGTTCCCTGACCAGGGGCGCATGGCGCCAAGGGACTCGTCTCCTCATGGGCCATGTCCCCTTCCACCCAGAAGCAAGTCTCCCCGGGGAGGACATCGCGGACGACAACAAGAGCTGCAACTGCGAGTTTGTGACCGAGGACCTGACCCCGGGCCTCAAAGTCAGCATCCGGGCCGTCTGGTGAGCGACCCTGGGTGTCTGGGGTGAGGACGCCCCCCTCACAGGGTCCTGGAGGGCAGTCACTGCCCCTGGAATGTAGGGATTTGGGGGGCTTGTGTGAGGGCACGCGCTCGGGGGTGGGGTGGGGGGGGGGACACTGGCCGACACCCCTTTAGTCCCAGCTCCTTGTGGCTCAGAAGGCCCCTTGCGTCACAGGTTTCCTTGCCCATCACCTGAGGGTGTTAGTGAACAGCCAGGGGCTGCCCAGGGGGCTCTCGGGTGGATGCGGGTCTGTCTGAACAGCTGGGACCAGGAGCAGCCGGTGTCTTTGGTGGGTGGGTGGCCCAGATAATAGGGACAAGTTGTCCAGTGCACATTCTCAGAGATGCTGGGAGGGCCCAGGAAGTGGACGCTGGGGCTGACCCTGCTTGGAGAGTGTCCTGAGGTGGCCTCTGCCCTGGGCTCACGGCCCTGCCCAACCCTCAGTGTCATGAGGTTCCTGGTGTCCAAGCGGAAGTTCAAGGAGAGCTTGCGGCCCTACGACGTGATGGACGTGATCGAGCAGTACTCGGCCGGCCACCTGGACATGCTGTCCCGCATCAAAAACCTGCAGTCCAGGCAAGAGCCGCCCCTGAGCCCTGGGCACGGAGGCCGGCCCTCCTGGGCCAGGCTGACACGCCATGAGGTGGGGAGATGGGTCCTGTGGAGGGCTGCCATGCTCTCCGCCAAGGGGGGTAGGGGACAGGGCTGAGGCGGGCACAGTGGCCAGACCTGCTTGCTGCCACCTCTGGGCCCTTCCTCTCGCCCCACACAGACTTTCCATCATGCTTGTTTTTAACGCCTCTCTTGTCTCTCCTTTTTCTTCCCTCCTTCCTGCTCTGTGATGGGAAGCATGCATGTGTGAATGCACATGTGTGTGGGTGCACGGTATAGGTCTCTGTGTGCATGTATATGGGTGCATGCATGTGTGTGCGTGTGTGTCCAGTGTGCCATATGTCATCATGTGCACACGTGCGTGTGTGTTGAGAGGTGAAGCTGTGGGCATGCACAGACCCATCCAGTGTCACTTATGCACCTTGGCACCTCTTCTGCCAGGACAGAGGGCCTTGTCCCCCTGCCCCACCTCGTGGGTCTTCTCACCTCCTGGGCAGTAAGTGGGGCTGGAGTGCATGTCTGCGTTGTACAGTGGCAGGGCACACACTGCTATCTCCAAGCCCATGTGTGTGAGAACTGGCTTGCTCACCCTAAAAGGTATCTGTACATACATGTATACAGGCATGAGCAAGGGCCCGAGGCACACACAACACAGATGTGCACACAGTGCACACAAAGGCCCATGTCCACCACCACATGCGCACACACGGTAGTACACATGTACACACACATGCTGTTAGCCTGACACCACATGCATGTACCACATAATTACACACACACAAATGCACTGCCAGTACAGGTGTGCTCATAGGCACCCACCCTCCACATATAAATGAGCTGTGCACACACGTGTTTGTGGTGTTTGTGAACAGGTCACAGCTATTGTCGTGGGTGTCTCCTGAGGTGGGTCACATGCTCCCGCCTGTCAGAGGCCCCGCCCCGCCCCGCCCCGCCCACAGCCCCTCAAACAAGGCTGCTCCACGGGGGAGCCTGGGCCCCAGCTGGGAGGGTCTGAGTGGTCAGGGACAGTCCTGGAGGGCAGCCCCGCCCCTAGCCCCCGGGGAGGGATGAAGTCCTCACTCTGGAAGTCGGTGCACGCCGCTCTGGGGGCCTCCCCGTCCTGCTCCTGGGCCAGGGGTGGGTCTCGCTGGGCCTTCACCGGCTCCTGTGGGCAGAGGTCAGGGAGTGACACCTCCCTCTGCCTGGGCGCAGGCCAAGAGGCCAGTCCTCCCAGAGCATCGACTAAACCTGTGTTGTGAGTGTGAGCAAATGTGTGTGTAATTTGCACATGGAGGGAAATGTGTGAGCATGTGAGTGAAAACACATGTGAGCGTGTGCAAACATGTCAGGTGTGCATGTGTGGGCAACACGTGTGATTATGCATATGACTGAGTGTGCACATGTGTGCATAAGCAGATTGTGTGAGTGTATATGAGTGTGAGTCTGCCTGTGTTTATAAACAGACATGTGTAGTGTGCATATGACTATGTATGCCTGTGTGTGCATAAGCAGGCTGTGAGTGTACATATGAGTGTGTGAACCTGTCTGTGTACACATAAGCAGACATGTGTGCATGTGTGCACATGAGCAATTTGTGTGTGCATGTGTGTCTCTGTGAGTGTGTGCATGTGAGCAACATGTGTGAGAGCAACATGCGTGCATGTGCATGTGTGTGCGTGTGAGCAATTGGTGTGCGTGTGAGAGAACAGTCTGCCTGCTGGGTCTCCCTCGCTGCAGCTGTGGTGTTCCCAGGCCCTTCTGCCTGAGCTCCCCTTTCCTTCCCTTTCTGGGGGAAAACGAAGTGCTCCCCAAGGAGCCGGGCGTGGGTCACTGGCCAGCAGTCCGAGAGCTGTGAAAGCTGGCGCTGCTGGCGCGGGGCCGCTGGCCTTCGCCCTGCACGTGGGCATGCCCGCCGGCAGGCCGGGCAGGGCCGAGACGCAGCGCAGGGCTGTGCGCGACTGACCAGGGAGCATCACGTGAGCGTGGCGCCCACGTGTTGTTGCCAGTGGACGTAGCTGTGAGAAGGTCTGCGGCTTCGGCAAGCCCCGCCGGCCCTCGTGGTGCTCACGACGCGTTTGCTGGTGTCTCTTCTCTTGTTTACTCGCCAGGATAGATATGATTGTGGGCCCCCCACCCCCTTCAACTCCCCGGCACAAGAAGTACCCCACCAAAGGACCCACGGCCCCTCCGAGAGAGTCACCCCAGTACTCGCCTAGGTCAGGACGCCAGCCTCTCCTGCCTGTGTCTGTGGAATGGCCAGCCCCCTTCGCTCCAGGCCACATGACGGCAGACCCGCACTGCCCTTCCGAGGGTGGAGGGGACGTTTCTCTGTCACTGACCAGCCAGACCGGGAGCAGGCATTCCTCTGCGGAGCCCGGGTGGCTGTGTTGGGGCTGCTCCTCTCGGCAGGGCCCTGGGGAAGCTTTCCAAGGACCCCTGTGTGCCATCCTCCTGGGGCAGGGCTCTCTGGGCAGAGGCAGAGGCCAGGATTGGGGTGCCCAGATGTGCAGGGAGGACCTTCAGGGCTCCGGGGACCATGGTGTCCTTGCCGCCCAGCCCCCAGCGCGACTCAGGCCCCAGCACCTGCACACCTGCGGGGTCGACCTGTGAGGGTCTGAGCAAGTCCCGTCACTTCTCTTGCCTTGAGCCTGTGGACAAACATGGGTCAGCACCATGGTAGCATTATGAGGAGGACGTCAGCTGATGGGCAGAATGGACGGTGAGTTAGCACATGCAGGTCCTTTAGGAACAAATGCAGACGGTGGAGCCCTCCAGCACCCCTGGGACTCTGCAGAGGAGGCTGTGGCCCGTCCACCTTCTCCAGCAAGTCTGGTCAGTCAGGAAGAGTGGGGTCCCAGAGCAGGGATGTGAGGGTAAGGAGAGATGCCCCCGGCGGTGCTGACAGCTGGGGAGCAGAGGGGCCCGGGGCACCTGGGGGCCAGGGTCAGCGTGTCAGACATCTCCACCTGGCATTCTCAGGGGAGCCGGCCTGACCCAGGCAGCCCCAGACAATACTTTCTGGGTTCCCCACTCTACCATGTCCCCCAGCCCCAAGGATGTGGTACCTGAGACCCAAGCCATCCTGGGAGTTGCTTCAGGGGTGGAGCTGGAGGTTGAGAGCCCAGAGCTGGGAAAGCCCGGCTGCCTTCGGAGCTCCAGGCCTCCCGGGCCGCAGTCCGAGCGCTCAGCCATGCAGAGGAGGGGCAGGAGGACAGTCTTGGCGTGTGGGGGCTCAGGGGTTAAGCCACCTCCTCAGCCTGAGGCCCAGGGGCAGGGTGCACAGGATCCTCAGAGGACCCTCCCTCAGCCCCAGCAGCAGGCCGAGCCCACGGCCAAGGCTCCCAGGGGACCGGCCAGGCGGGTGGTCATCATGTGGCAGGGGTGAAGGCGCTGAGCCGGGCCTGGCCTGTATGCACATGTGGCAACACCACGAGCCCCTTCTCCTTGTCCATTTCCACGGGCATGTGCTTGGAGCCCAGGGCCCCCGCCGCCCTCCCCCGTGCTGGTCCTTGGGTGCATGCGTCCAGCATGAAGCCCGTGAGAGCATGCGGAGGCTGCACCGTGGCAGACGCAAGCCTGAACCTTCTGCTTCCTGCAACAGAGAGAAAATCACCCCAAGTGCCCCCATCAGAGGCAGACAGGGTGGTCCTGTGGTCAGGAAGGAAGCCCAGCCGTGGCCCCAGCCAGCTCACAAGGTCCCTGCACCCCAAACTTGAGAAGTGGGCTTTGTGCTGGGGGCTCCAGGCCCAAGATGAGGCAGGGGCTGCAGGCCTCGGCCTGGGTCGCTGTCCGGCTCCTCTGCATCCCGGCTCAAGTGCTGTTTGCCGGGCAGTTTTGCAGCAGCTGCCCCAGGGCTTGCAGACAGCAAGGCCCTTGATGCTGAGTGGCGTCCACATGCTCGCCATTCGAAAAGGCCCCTTCTGAGCCCTTCCTGCTCAGCGTGGGAAACAGAAGCCCTCCCTGAAGGAAGCGCCTTCTCCGCCTGTGGCATTCATGGCCTAAGGCCTGTTTGCGATAAGCTCAGCTGTGTTCTGCATCTTGCACATGTGTGCGTGCACACGCACGCACATACACGTACTCACCTGTACATAGGCACACATGAGACACACATGTGCACACAGTGGATGCAATGCATGCACACACGTACACATACATGGTGCACACAAATGCACAAAACGCACAAAACACATGCACATATAGACATACAATGTACACCGTGCATGCACACGTGCGCACACATGCAAGCACACAAAGACCCCCTCTCTGATTGTGCCTGGGCAGTTTCCGTGCTGGTCTGTGTCCCCACGCCCTGTCCTGTGCATGGAGCCCCAGCTCACTGTCCCCGCCTCCCTGCTTTGTTGTCCCCACATAGACGTTTAACTGTCCCCATTGGACTGGCTGGGCAGAGGGCTCAGTGGCACATTAGGAAGGATGGAAGCTCAGGTGGGGGCAGTGCCGGGGTGGACAGAGCACAAAGGGGCCGAGCTGAGGGGTGAATGGCCCCAGTACCTTCCTGTGCCTCCTCACCAATGTGCCGGCCCACTGGGATGGGGTGGGCAGGGAACAGGCCTGGGAGTCCAGAACCAGGCGAGAACAGGTGCTCGGCATCCATCTGTCCTGGCACCTGCTGCCCCCCAGTCAGCTCTGGGTGTGGCCTGGAACCTGGATCTGGAGGCTGTGGCCTAGCCCAGGAAGAGAGGGTCATGGGCCACCACAACCACTTGAACTTGTGCTGTGGGGCGGGGTCTCTTCCTGGCAGAGTGGACCAGATTGTGGGGCGGGGCCCGGCGATGACAGACAAGGACCGTACCAAGGGCCCAGCCGAAGCAGAGCTGCCGGAGGACCCCAGCATGATGGGCCGGCTGGGCAAGGTGGAGAAGCAGGTGAGCGGAGCCTGGAGAGCCACCGTGATGTCAGCCTCGGTGGACGCTGTGGGAGGGGTCCTCGAGCTTCCAAGGGCCTGGGCCCATCACAGCTTAGGGTGCTGCATGCCCTCTGAGCCCCTCCCCAGTCTAGGGCATGTTCCCTTCCTTGGCCACAGGCCCTCAGGACCAGGAGCACCATTTATGCCCCTCCCCTTGCCTGGGTGGGGGCCCCTGAGCGACACCACGTACCGGGGCCTGTGGGTGGACTCTGTCACCTGGGCCTCATCCCCAGAGCCCTCTCCTGTGGACACACACAAGGACTCCCACCAGGCTCTGCTCCTGCCGTGGAGGGAGGAGAGCCATGCGTCCCTCTGTGGCGAGGGCTCTGATGGGTGGGCCCACGGCGGCAGCGGGCAGCCAGATGAGCAGGAGCACCCAGGTCCAGCGCTCTGAAGCCCTGAGGCCACCCAGTAATGGGGTCAGAGGGTGAGCTGCTGGTGGGTCTGCCTCCCGCTGCCTCTGCACCTCTGCAGGGAGCAGCCCGGGTTGTCCCCACTTCTGCAGGGAGCAACCCAGGTCCCCCCACCTCTTCAGGGAAAAGCTGGGTCTCCTCACCTTGGGGAGCAGCCTGCCAGCAGCCCCTCTTGCAGGTCCTGTCCATGGAGAAGAAGCTGGACTTCCTGGTCAGCATCTACACGCAGCGCATGGGGATCCCACCCTCAGAGACTGAGGCGTACTTTGGGGCCAAGGAGCCCGAGCCGGCACCGCCGTACCACAGCCCCGAGGACAGCCGCGATCAGGGGGACCGCAGTGGCTGCATCGTCAAGCTCATCCGCTCCACCAGCTCCATTGGCCACAAGAATTTCTCAGCGCCCCCGGCTGTGCCCTCCACTCAGTGCCCACCCTCTACTTCGTGGCAGCCTCAGGGCAACCCGCGCCAGGGCCATGGTGCCTCGCCCGTGGGGGACCATGGCCCGCTGGTGCGCATCCCGCCACCTCCCACCCATGAGCGCTCGCTGTCTGCCTACAACGGGGGCAACCGGGCTAGCACGGAGTTCCTGCGGCACGAGGACACGCCAGCCAGCAGGCCCCACGAGGGCGCGCTGCGAGACAGCGACACGTCCATCTCCATCCCGTCCGTGGACCACGAGGAGCTGGAGCGCTCATTCAGCGGCTTCAGCATCTCCCAGTCCAAGGAGAACCTGGATGGCCTCAACAGCTGCTATGCGGCGGTGGCCCCCTGTGCCAAAGTCAGACCCTACATTGCCGAGGGCGAGTCGGACACGGACTCGGACCTGTGCACCCCGTGCGGGCCACCGCCTCGCTCGGCCACTGGCGAGGGCCCCTTTGGTGACCTGGGCTGGGCCGGGCCCCGGAAATGAGGCCCCACCCGCTTTTCCCTGACTCTTGGCCTTGAGGTTTCAAGGCAGGACCCTCCGGTGCCCATGCCTGATGCGGTGGCGGGCAGTGGGGGCGCCTCAGTCTTCACGGTGAAGGTTAACGAAAGTCCTTTTCCAACAATGGGCACCCGGGCTGCTGTGCCCACTCTGTAGACCGCCGGCCCAGGTGTGAGAGGGTGGGTGATGCAGAGGACAGGTCCCTGGCAGAGGCTGGAGGTGTGGAGTCAGGGAGCAGGGCCAGAGTGAGGGTGCCCAGTGCGGGACAGGCCTGTCCCCTTGAGAGTGTGTCCATGTGCACGGCTGGGAGGATGCCCCTTGCCTCCCGTGCCCATCCACTGTGTTCTGAGTGTCCTGTGTGGGAGCCAGCCCTGCGTCCAGGGCCCTGGCCGGAGAGGAGGGGCGAGGCCTTAGGACACACAGGAGCATGGGGACCTCTGTGCTCCACAGGCTCCTGGCAGAGGGTCCTTGGGGGCTCTCCCGGCCACAGGAGACCTGGGGGGTGGGCACCCCCTTGTCCTCTGTGCTCTGCCCTGTCCGGGTGCTGGTCAGCAGGCTGCAGCCAGCACGTTCACGGAGACCTGCTTGTGGGCAGTGGTGCTGGGCAGGTGGGCGCCGCACTGGGGCTGGGGGTGTGGTGAGCAGGCTTCCTGCTGCCCTTTGCAGGGGCGCTGCTTCACCTGTCCCCACGGGAGCCTTGACCGGACCCAGGGCTGGAAGGGGGTATAGCCACTGGCAAAAGCTGTCCAAGTCCCCACGCGACATTAGACAAAGGCAGCTTGCTATAGGTTCTCTTCTGTCCCCGCTGGAGCCGCCCGCCCGGCCCACTAGTCTCTGCGGCTGGTCCCTTGGCTGTGGCCTGCTGGTGTCTTGAGAGAAAGGACACCGTCCCCACCCTGGGCCCCCACTCTTGTGGGCACCTGGCCCGAGGAGCAGCAGCTTTGAGCCGGGAGCCCAAAGGCGGCGGTGGGCCCCCAGCAGGCAGTGCAGGGCACCTGGCATTTGGGGTGATGGACCGAAAGCCTGGCACCTGGCACCCTGAGGCAGTGACCCCATGGGTGCAGGGCTGAGCCCAGCTAAGGCCACCAGGTAGCGGCTGCCCCAAACGCTGGGTCCAGGGAGAGCTGGGCTGTCTCCTCACCCATGTGAGCCCACACTGGCTGGGGGTCTCTGAGGCGGCAGCAGGTGGGGCTCAGGCCACGGCTCTGTGTGGGGAACAGCCTCCTCAGGGCCCCCAGGCTCAGTGCTGACAGCACATGTGCCCTTGGTGCCCGCCCACAGTGGGGCCCCACTTCGGAGAAGCCTTGTGCACTGTCTTGGGTGTGCGTGTGACAAGACAGGAGTGTGGCTGACACCCCACACCTGTGCTCAATCACTGGCTCACACATGGGCACACACACCACACACACACTCACACATACAGAAATTGCACAGGCACACCCACGCACACATACACACACCACTTAAGCATACATACGTGATACACCTCACACAGTGCACATGCGCACACACATGCATGCCTCACACACATGCGCAGGTGCACACACACACACACACACACACACAGCCATGCACATGCGTGCCCTCATGCACACATGCACACACGCACACATCACATTCTGACCGGGCAGTCCCTTGGCCTCTGGCTGCTTTCCAGCACGAGGACTCGGGACTCGGGGAGCCACAGTGGCTCTGCCACCCGGGCCCCTGGACAGAAGTGGCAGAAGGTGCCCTGGAGTCATGCAGGGCCCCACGCTGCCCTCCCCTTGGCACGGCAGTAGCTGTCCAGAGTGGTTGGGTGGCCAATGGCCAGGGACAGCCTGGGCTGGGCCAGGGAGGACCCAGCACCTATGGGGTGTCCGGATGTGATGCTGGGGCTCTGGCCGGCTCCCTGGGCCCCTTGGTCAGTGGCCTGGCCTCATCACCACCGAGCAGGGGGCTGCCCTCTCCCTTTGTTGGCCTACCGTCTCCCTCCTCTGTCCCTGTGCAATCATGAGCCACACTCATGCTGGGCCACCTGGGAGGACGGAGGGACCAGCCAGGTGGCAGAGGGCTCCCTCCCGGCCTGCCCACCGGCCTGTCCCCACACCTGCCTGCTCAGCAACACCACCTGTCCCGCTCCAGGACCCCGTGCTGCGAGGGCTGCTCCGGGGGGCCAGCTGCCTCCAGTCACCACGGCTGAGCCCAGAGCTGCTGCCAGCCAGGCAGCGTCACGCGTCTCCAGTGGGTTAACTTATTAACCCGCCTCTCCCTCACTAGACTGTCCCCTCCCCTGGCTGTGGATTTGAGATGTGAACATGGGAGAGGGGTCGTCCTCTCTGTGGCCCCCACATTCAGGGGCCACCATATATCAGGTCCGCACCCGCTGCTCTCGGAAAGAAGTCTGTGCGAGGCATTGCACATGCTTCTGAAGCCCAGCGGCGCTGCTGCTGGTGCTCTGGGGCCTCTGTAGAAACACTGGTGTTCGCATCTATTTCACTTTCGCCCCGAATTGTAAATAATGTACAGATGATCCTCAGCTGCCCTCTGGGGTGGCGCAGACCTGCCTTGGTGATCTCCAGGCCGCCCCCCTTATATACTGACGTGGGTGTGAGGCAGGAAGGCTGGGGGCCCGGCAGTGCTGCCTGCTTCCAGAGCCCGGGGAGCCTGTGTGGCTGTCCCCAGGGGCAGCCTCCACTTGGGCCCCCACCAAGGACAAAGCAGAAACAACCAAGGAGGGCTTCGTGCAGGAAGCAGTGTGGTGCAATCTGGACTGCGCCTCTCCTTTCAGGGGCCTGGGAGAGCCGGCAGCCCAGGGCAGGACACTGTGGCCCCTGGAGCAGGCAGAGCCCTGAGGGGTGGGGCTGCCCGCTGACCCAGAAGGCTGCTCTGCTGGGGGCGGGGCTTTAGGACACAGTGTAAAGGGGGGGAGGGAGGCCCTGGGGAGGAGAGGGCCCTCTTCACAGCCTTTGGAGTCATTTGTGGGGCTGGGAGAGGTTGGGTGGTCTTTTGTCTTGGACACTTGCGAGGGTGACACACTGACTAGGACGTGAGGACAGGAGGGCGGCCCTAGTCCTGGGCTTCTGGGCAGGTGTGCACACCTGGCTGGGCTGCACGTCCAGCTCTGACTGGGTCTCATAAAGTTGTTGCCTTAATGCATGTTGACGGGGAGTCGCTGAGGTCGCCCCTGTGCCCTGGGTGACCTCCAGGCGCTGATGCCAGGCCCGCCCCTTCTCCCCCGCCTGTGGTCTGCAGACCGCTCCACAGAGGGCACTGAGCAGGCGGTCTCACCATCTCACACCCGCTGGCCCAAGGTGCCGCCTGCCTGGATTCGCCCGACCCCACTGCGCCCATCGGCTCGGCCGCCTGGGCCCAAAGGCGGCTGCAGCTCCCCCATCTGCGCTGTTGCCTTGGCTGTGTTTGCACTTTTGTTCATGCTCCAAAGAATATTTCATACTGCCTTGCGTGTGACACGCGCTGGCTGGGTGTGCGCGCGCACCACAGCGACCGTGTCACCACCGCACACTTGTGTCTCAGCCGCACTGTTGTTTTCCAAGGAAAGACGCCGGGGCCGGGTCCAGGTTTGCTAGGAGCAGTGAGATGTGTGCGCACGCAGCTCACTGTCAGGCCGATGCTCCCGGTGAGAATGGGCCCAGCACAGGTTCCCCAGGGGCCTTGGTGTGGAATCTGGCGTCAGGGATGCATATGGAAAGTTCTGTTGCCACAGGGACGAGTCTGGGTGCCCAGAGGGCCTGCGCACGGAGTAAAACACAGTGATCCACCGGGCAGTGCGTGCCTCCTTCCTGCCGTGTCCTCTCCGGCGGCTGGCCTGCGCCGGGGCTTGTGGTGACAGGGACAGCGACAGACTCCCCGGGAGGCCACTGTGCTCCCACTGGGAGGGCTCTCACTCTGCAGGGTCCGGCACCGGCTCTGTCTGTCCTCTCTCTGCCACCACCAAGGACCACCAGCCGGTGGCCCCCAGAGCAGAGGCTCCGGGTCGCCCCCTGCAGGCTCCTGCCCGTGGCCTTCTCTCCACCCTCCGGGCAGCTGGGTCCTGGGCTATGGAAGCTTCAGCCCCTACCACTCCCCCTCACTCCCCTGGCTGGGTGAGGGGCTAGGGGCGGGGAGTGATGTCCTGTCTCCCACCCGAGGGCCTGGGCCAGGGCCTGGCTGTAAGGGGCTTGTGCTGAGCAGCTATGCTGCCCGCCTTCTGGAATGTTCCTCCCACCAGACCCCTCTGGCCTCTGGGGGCTCAGCTGAGCAGGCAGAGCAGATGGGCAGGGCTCAGTGGCCCAGAGGACTCATGCCGAGCCCCGAGCCCTGCACAGATGCCTGGCCCTACAGTGGTGGGGGTGGGGTGGGGGTAGGGTGTGAGGGAGGGCCTGGCAGGTCTGGGTGACAAACCAGAGGTTTATATTGCAAGGCTTCCAGAAACTTCTGGGTTGGGGTGCCTTTCTTTGGGCTAACTGGATGGTGCTCCCGGCCCAGCTGGGCTGCTGCACTCACCTCTGTCCACCCACAGCACTGACGACGGTCCACAGCGTCCCCTGGCCATCCCTGCTGGAGACGAGGACAGAGAGCTGCCGTCACCGGGAAGCCCGAGCCTGGCCCTGAGTGCGGGGGGCAGGTCAGCATGATCCACGGCCCTCGGATCTCTGCAGGCTCAGGCCTGGTGAAAACCCGGACCCCCGTGTGCTCGGGGTCTCTAGCTGCCCCTGGTGCTGGGGGCTGCAGTGGGAGGGAGGAGCACCCCATCCGACCCCTCCACACCCACGAGACAGATGTTTCACTATCTCGCACTCGGCGGTTTTGACTGCTTGCCTGAGAAAGTTCTGTTTTTCCAAGAATTGTCCCTAGAATTAGGATTGGATCTGGGCTTGGCTGTGATGAACAGAAACTTTAAACAACTGCGGGTTCAACAGAGAAGACTCCTATTTGTCTTTCACGGTCGACAGTCCAGAGGGAAGCTGTCTGGACTAGTGTGGGGGTCCCCTGTGGTGCCAGAGGCGGGTCCTTCCTGTCCTGTTTCTCTGTTCTACATGGTTTCTTCCTCCGGGTCACCACGTGGGCCAGTGTGGCTGCTGGAGGCCAGCCATTGCACCTTCATCCCAGCTAGTGGAAGGGAGTGTGGGGGAGAAGGGCACCCTTTCCCCTAACACACACACACGCACACACACACACACACGCACACGCACACACATGCACACACACACTAGCACACCTGTGGTGTCTGCTTACATCCATAGGCCCCAGTCACATTCTGTAGGGACGACTGGGAAATGGAGTCTTTATACTGGGTGCCCATGCTTGGCTAACTCAGGGGTTTGTCTCTAAGAAAGCAGGGGACAGGCTCCTGGGGGACCAAGCCGGCCTGGGCTCTGCTCCCAGCAAGACCGATAGGCCCTGGGTGACACTGGCCACCAGATGTCAGAATAAGCAGAGCAGGGGGCAGGACAGGTGTTTGAGGGTCTGTCCTCCCCAACAACGCCCAGAGCTTTCGCTGCCCTCTCCGTGCCCGGCCCATGCAGCCATATTCCCGCTTGGGCCTGCACCTCATTCTCTGCTCTGTGCACGTCACCCAATCCCATGAGGGGTATCACCAATCACCCCATTATGCAGGGGTGATCCATGGCACAGAGAGCTTGGGTGCCCCCAGTTCGAGGTAAGCGGAGGGGCAGGATGTGGCCCCGAGCCTTCCTGGGGACGTGGCTGGAGCACGTGCAGAGCTGGGCCCTAACTGAGCTGCCCTCTTGGGTCCCCTCAACATAGCTGCCTTGGTTTCTGGAACTATCTGTGTATCATCCCACCTCCGCCCAGGACCAGATGAGCCAGGCACACCTGGGTCCCATGGGCACCTTGTCTGATCCACCATGCAGATGCAGGGCTGCAGGTGGCTGAGGCAGCCAGCAGCTTGATGGCGGGCAGGTGGCATCCAGAACTGTGTCCCCAGCTGTGGGGTGGGGTGCTGTGGACAGGGCAGGGGGACTGAGCTCCCCGTGGCTCTGGGCTCAGGTGAAGGGCCACTGCAGAGCTCTGGGGGCTGAGTTGTCCCTCCCATGGGTGCTGGCCGAGGGGCACGGATAGGGGGCCTGTTGCCCACCACTGGAGCCTGCTTACCACTGAGGCCCCTCCCCCATCCTCTGGACAAGACCCCAAGAGGGCAGGGAGGCGGTGACAGCACATTGCCCAGCGCTGGTGGGGCCCCCACACAGGCACAGGTGCCCCCACAGACACCCTGCCCTGCTTGCTGTCACCCATGTCCCCCTGGGTTCCATCACATAGGGCAGATGGCAGGCACCTCTGTGTCCAAGGCTGCACGGGCACAGGGAACCCGGGGTGTGTGCGGCGGCTGCAGGGCTCAGAGGGGACTGTGGTCAGTGGTGTGACAGGACACAGTGTAGGCAGGAGCTCTGGGCAGGGGCAGGAGGCCCAGCTCTGGTGGGGGGAGGGCTCCTTCAGTCCCCACCCCAGGTAGACACCCCTCTCGCACCCAGGGGAGGCTGCCTGAGGAGCCGGCCGAGCTCCGAGTGACCCACCACACCCATCCTTTCACTCAGCGAGGCCACTTGGAAAGGCCGCCCACGGCCCGAATCCCGAATCCGAGGCTTTTTCTAGACTGGTGTCCTCAGGCCTGGCCCTGGACTCCACTGAGCCTGAAAGGGGTCAGAGGAGGGCCCCTATCCTGGGGGAGGGGGCTCCTGCTGGCGGGGGCCTGGAGGGGGGCCCTCAGGCCTGAGGTCAGTGGGAGGTGCTGCTCCAGGTCCAGACCTGCCTGGCCTGGCTCCTGGTGCCCACGGACTCGCCCAGTGCCTGTCGTCCAGCTCCTCTTCCTGCTCTGTGCCCTCGGACTCACATGAGCCACCCCCCCAAGACTTTCAGGCCTGCAGCCCCCAAATAAAATAAAACCTGCAGGAAACTGCTGTGAGCTCCTGCCAGGAAAGCTCCCCTCTGAGTGGTTGTCAGGCCCACAGCTACTGTGCGCATGTGTGTGCATGTGTGCACATGTGTGTGCGTGTGTGTGTGTACGTGGGTGGGCGCTGGAGCAATCAGCCTAGGAAGGAGCTCACAGGTAGAGGGGCCTTGAGGAGGCCTGTGGCATACCAGCTCTGGGGTCTCCAGCAGCCCTGGCCAACATGCTGGGCAGCTTTTTTCCAGGTAGAGCCCCATCCACCCTGGATCAGCATTTCTGGGGAGCCCTGAAGCAAGCCTGGAGCCTGGACTCTCGGGGGTCCACTGTGGGCTGGGGATAGTGAGGGCCACTGCTGGGATCCCCTCAAAAAGTAGAAACGCAGGGAGAGAACCGTGGGCAGGAAGCTGGCCGGTGCCAAACTGAAGTTGATCTGTTTTGGGGGTCAGAGACTGGAACAGAAACGGGGCCCCCAGCCTGTCCCCCACCTCCAAGGCCGAAGCTGCCCAGAGCAACGCCTCTGTTGTACATCTCACTTTCTGGACGCTCGTGCCCAAATCTCCCCTGGCCTCCTACTGCAGCTCCTCCTGTCCTGACCAGAAGCAAAGGGCAGGAAGGGTGCGGGGGCGTGGGGACTGCTTGCCAACCTCGACTACCTCCTCCCACCAGGCTCCCTTTGCCCTCCTCTCCCGTGGGCCTTCTCCCAGCCTCCAGCCAGGGCTCTGTCCCCCACCCCCGGCTTGTCCCTGGCCTGGGCAGCCGTCCTTGAGGACTCGCTGGGGGTGGACATCAACAAAGTCCCAGAATCCGGGTACCAATGGGTCCTCAGGAACCCCTACCTGGTTGCAGCCATTGCCTACTTTTATAAGATGCAGAAATGTGATTTCTTTCCACATAAAAGTAAAATGTTTAGCTCACGAAGCTGGCATTTACTTCTGCCAACACAGAAGAGGTGTCACCGGAGACCCTGGTGCGTGGGTCCTCTGACACCTTCCCACGGAAGCTGCCTGCTGGTCTTCAAGGGCGGCCGTGGGAAGTGGTGGGCTGGGCAGGAGAGAGCCCAGTGGGCAGTGTGGAGCCAAGGATCGTCCCAGCTGACCCTCCTGCCAGGAGGGAGCTGGGATGGGACTTGTCTCGATCTACAATCGGCCAGTGGACAGAGAGACCTGGGACCAGGAGTCCCGTTCAGCAGAGCCAGAGACCACGTGGCCAAGTGCATCTACGGAGCACCTGCTGTATGCACCCACTGTGAGAAGCCATGGCCATGCCCTTGAGCCCTCAGAGCCTGCTGGACTAGAGACAGCGGGATTCTGGGGGGCTGAGGGGCAGCTCTTTGCTGCCCTGGCTGCAGTCTCTGTCACCCCTCCCTCAGTTGTCACCTAGCTCTCCTCTGACTCAGTGCATGGTCAGTCCTGAAGCCCATGACGGATGGCCACTCAGCCTTGGTTTGCCCTAGCCTGTTCACTGCCCTCAGATGGCCTGTGTCACACCTACTATGACTCCTCTTTGCATGCAGCCCACAACTGGGCACAGGAGCCCAGGGCACTCACCCAGTAGAGGCCAATGGCCCTATCCCCTCCCACATTCCAGACAAGAGAAGTGTTGTAATAAAGCCAAGCTGTATCCTGGGCAGCTTGCGGCCCACTAATACCTTCAGCCCTTTCTTCGGGACCTGATCTTGGCCCGGACAGTGAGATGCAGATGTCAGTTTGGCAACTCAGGTCAGATATTTTCTCCTGGTTACATTTTTAAAAATATATTTTATTGATTTTTTACAGAGAGGAAGGGAGAGAGATAGAGAGTTTGAAACATCAATGAGAGAGAAACATTGATCAGCTGCCTCCTGCACACCTCCTACTGGGGATGTGCCCACAACCCAGGTACATGCCCTTGACCGGAATCGAACCTGGGACCCTTCAGTCCGCAGGCCGACGCTCTATCCACTGAGCCAAACCGGGTAGGGCTCCCTGTTACATTTTATCTCTGGGCCTGGACAGGCCTCTCCCTCCTGTGGCTCTCCTGCCAGAGTCCTGAAGCTGCCTCCCTCCTGTGCTCGGCGTCACAGACAGCCCAGTGGCCAGTGTGTGCCCTGCGGAGGCCCCACTCCAGCCGCCACCTCCTCCCACAGCTGTGGCCCGGGAGCTGGAGATGGCTAAGCCCTCCCCCGCCAGCTGGAGCAGAAGGAGCTGAGTCCCTCCGTGCCATTCAGAGTTGCTGAGTTTTCAGCGCAGGCGGGCTTGACATTTGCATTGGAATCAGTGTGTTGACTTGCTCCCTGTGCTCCTGTAGACTCCAAGGCCTCCGGCTGCTCCTCAGTGAGCCCTCACTGCCTGGGGCAGACCTGGTGTGGGCACCTGCAGCCCATCCAGCCCATGTACCCTCACCCTGGGGCCAGTGTCCCCATTATTTTAGTGCCTCACTCTCCT